AACATAAACCTAGAATCTCCCCAAAATAGTCATTGGCCTTCTTAGCCTTCTAAAAAACCCAGGACAATCAAGGTATCTTCTCCCAAATTTCTACAAAGACCTAATTAAAGCACCTAAAACAAAGACCAGAAATCGAATAGTAAGAAGAATAAAAACCCAAACCAATCAAAATCCAACAAATCTGTTGGGTTCCATCGAACCCAACGGCTGCATGTTGAAAGGGAAAAGGAAAGGGAATAGGAAAGAGAGGAAAAAAAAAAAAACCTAGCAAATATGCTAGGTTCACGAACCCAACAAAAGAGGAAAGGGAAGAGAAAGGGGAAAGAGAGGAAAAAAAAAATAAAAAAAGGGAATTTTTTTTTTTTTTTTGGTGGGATGAGTTGGAATTACGTGGACAAAATTTTTGTCTATTTCCTTTGTTTTTGCCAAGTTGTCAATCTTTTGTGTGAAAATTTTAAACATATAATGCTTCTTCCGTCAAAACAAAAGGACTAAGTTGGGACCAAAATGGAAAATAGTAGGGACCAAATCAAGGAATTTTTGAGTTGAGAGATTCAATCAAGAGTCTGTATAATAATTGAGAGACCAAAATGGAGGTTTAATCTAAATATTATATATCTCATAAATAATAAATTTAGTAATAAAAATTTAACCCTATCAAATGTAAAATTATTTTTAACTAATATTACACATATATCTACTTTGATTAAATTATCAATTTTAACACTACATATTTATAGTTAATTTAGTTATTATATATACACAAAAAATATATAATATTAATTAAAAATAATTTCATATTTGATAGTGTTAAATTTTTATTATCAAATTTATGGTTTACAAAATATGTAATATTTATAGATACCATTAGTGGAAGGAAAAAGGAAGACGATAATGAATTTGTTAGAAGAGGAAGATGGAGAGACGAGAAGAAAAAGGGGTATTGTGGAGAATATGACTTTTAAGGTTAAATTTGTAATTTTATTCTTATAATTATTTGGTTTTGTATAGTGTACACCCCCAAGTGTTGAATCGGGGGGTGCACTAAGCATTTTCCTATTTGATTATACCCATATAATTGACACATTATCATGTTCAACAATTTTTGTCAGTTATATGAGTATAATCTATAACTTTTTAACTATCGACTATATTTTTATTGGTTAGATATTGTTTTCTAGTAGTGTTTTAGTCTTTTCTAATTACCTTGGCTGAGACAAAAGTCTAAGTAGAAACGTTTTACTTGGATGTTATAAAAGAAGATTGGACCTTTATTTTCATCATGTTCATGAGAAATCTAGGAAAGTTTGGACTAATTAAGCAACTAACTATTGGAAATTCAGAAAAATTTTGGTGTTTTTGCTGCTTGCTGTACTGCAATTTCTTTATTAGTATCTGACTTCTCACATGCTAAGGTTTAAGTGCCTATGTAATTGTGTTTTCATCTATGCTTTCATGATTTCGTTTGAATTTGTTTCCTTTTGTGGGTTCGGGGAAGCAACGCAAGATTTCAGAATATTATAAAAAGCAGGAAAGGCTCCTTGAAGGGTTCAATGAAATGGAGGCCATGGCTGAAGCTGGTTGTTTCCCAGCTGGAAGTCTAACAGAGGTTGTTCCTCTAATCTCCTAGATGTTATGTTTCTCACTTGAATAGTTAACTGCAGCTAATTAATTGATTAGCATGTATATTTGGCATGTTAATCGAATTCCTTGGGATCTTCATATAATTACAGTTCTCAGATACAGAACTTGTCTACGGAAAATGAATTTAATATGTTAATATCTTTTCGTGCCAAAGATGAGAGGAAGCAACCTGCAAAAAGTGAGAGACTGGCTGTTCATGCATCAAACATAGCTAATGTGGTGCTTTTCGCGGCAAAGGCCTATGCTTCGGTTGAGAGTAAATCAATGGCAGTTATTGCCTCAACTTTAGATTCACTCTTGGATCTCTTGTCAGGGTTTATTTTGTGGTTTACTGCATATGCCATGAAGAAACCTAACCATTATCACTATCCAATTGGAAAGAGACGGATGCAACCTGTGGTAAGTTAATTATTGCTCTCTAGATCATAATTTTTTGTCATTACTGCTCCTTTAGTGGCTCCATATGCATGAAAATTTGATCACCAGAAGTCTAATTATATGGCAAATTGTATGGTTGGAGCACTAAGAGACGTCCTTGGAAATTTGCTCTTCAACTGACCTTATTGATATTTGATGAAATTGAATATTCTCGGAGATTTGTGAATGGTAGAATGTTAGTGGCTAGTGGATTTTGTGCTGTATTTGAAATGACCAAGCTCTATAAAGAACTGGTTCAGATTTTCACTTAATAAGATGGTACTGAATGTGGTGCATGGTCAGAATCGGTCCAGTAGATGACTGTCACACAGTGTTTTAGACAATGGATTTTGAAATGACTTAATTATAAGACACTTTTTTTTTTTTTGAACATATTTTGCTAGTGACGGGTTTCGAACTCTGTTCGGGAGAATGCACCGATGGTTAATACCACTAGTCTTCAAGGGTAAGGTGCAATTATAAAACACTTTTTGTTATTATTTATTATTATAATTTTTATATAATGACCTGGTATAACAAGGATGAGCTTGATTGGATGGATGGTGTCAATAATCCATTCTACACACCATATAAAACAAAGCAAAAAAACAAAGGGAAAACGGTTTCGTTAGCTTTTTTTCCTCAAAATCTGTTGAAAGTTTTGAATTTTTCTTCGCAATATTGTAATTAGAATTTACAATGTAATGTAATTTATTATATAAAATAAATAAATATTAAAGACAAATTTTTAAATAAAAACATTTATTTATAAAATAAGTATAATAAATTATAAATTTATAATATTATATATATTTTTTATTTTTAACAATGGTTATGATGTCAGATTGAACTGTTACCCTGAAAAAAAAGGATAAGTAAACTTTTACAAGAGTAACGGATGTTATTTGACCTTATGAGCCAATTCTAATATTATATATTTTTTAAAAATTAAAATTTTATATAATATTATAATTATATTATTTTTAATTTTTTAAATATGATAAATAATATTTTTATTTAATACAAGGCAAGCTCCAATCTGCTTAATTTTTAAAATAAAAAATATGAGCGTTATAGAGTAATTTTTTTTAAT